CCCCAAAACCCCAAAACCCCAAAACCCCAAAACCCCAAAACCCCAAAACCCCGTATTATTCCTCTGATTGAAGATGATACGAGATTGGTTAATACCAAAAAGGAGAGGATAAAACCTCTCTAACCAACCCCCCAAAAACTGTCCAGTAGTTTCCTCATTTATCAGCCTCAAAACCCCTCTACCCATCTCACCTGCCCACAATCAAAATCTCTTCTTAAAACTCATCCAAAGAATTACTCTTAAAGAGCAGTTGCCCAATGGCTGACTCTCTTCATGACACTCATAACCTTGCTTACATTGGAATATTGGCCATTTCTAAAATATTACACAGGGCTTACTGTGAGCAGTGGCGTTTCCGTCAGGACTATCCACAGGGATTGCAATAATTATAGTATTGCCATTTGCTTGGGAAACCTTGTTGTGAAGAGCGGCTTGTAATGTGGGAGTGGGAGGTTTGCCAGAGGGAATAACGATTGGGTCAAGATGAAGCTCCTTCTTACTCTTCTTCTTTCTTCTCCTGATACAAATAAAGGTGACAATGCCAGCCACAATGAGAGCTAGTCCTCCAACACATCCTAAAACTACCCATAAGGCAGTCAAGTTCGTCTTTGAACCACCAGAGATCGAATCAGTTGTATTTCCACTTGTAGTAGGAGCAATAGCACCTTTAGCAGTAATATTATAACTAACAGAGGCTGAGTAAGGGTTGATCACTACGTAAACATCAACAGTAGTACTGAATGAGACTGTAGCTGTTGAGCCTGCATTTAGTATCCCTATCTCGGTGTAGTTGGCTTCTCCTCTCGGTCCTTTATAAACTGTTGCAGTCGCTCCTGATATACTATCTATAATAAAAATTTGAGTACACAAAATGTTGATGAATTACCCATCTCACAACAAAAAAAAACTTTACTTAGTACACAAAATGCTCTATAGACTCATCAAATTCCCATCCTGGCCAACTACCACCCCAAGACCAACTCCTCCCCAAATTCCCCTTCTCCTCTCCATCAAAACCTCCTCCTCCAAATCACCCCCTTCTACCTCCCATTCCAGTCCCTCTAACCCTACCAGTAAACACCTAACCCTCCCAAACCCAACTTCCAAAACTTTCCTTCCCAAAATCCCCTGCCTTAGCCACTCCCCTTCCAAAACCTCCTTTATCTTCTAAAAGCACCCAGTCTTCCTGAACAAGGACTTGTTCGGCCCCAGGCTTCAGAGGTAGGCTAAGGCATAGAGGGCTTTGGGTCAGAATTAAGTGGAAGTCAAAGGGGTTTTTGAGGTTTTTTTTAGGATGAGGAGAGACTGGGAGTGGAGGGGGGAATAGGGAGTGAGGAGAGGAGGGTGGAAGGGTGGGGTAAATAAACAAAGTTAAAGGCAGGATAGTAACAAAGCTTTTTTTTGGTGAAGAAGATAGTTTGTTTACTAATTTCTCAAATACGGGGCATCCTTCCGAACTTAAGCAATGAAGATGAGGTCATGGTGAAAAACAATGGTTAGCTTATCTGAATAGACTCTGAGAGAGTTTTAAGTGATCAAAATTTATTGTTCAGAAATCTTCATTGTTGTGAAAATAGTCTTAAAAATGAGTTTGAAAAGTATCTTTTGATAAGACTTATAAACAAATTGAAAGATACTACCAAAAATTTCTGTTTTAAAAATGAAAATAGTAGAGCTGATTAGCAGTCTTTGAGCTAAGCTTAAAATTCTTAAAGTATCCAAATTATTTATAAAACAGCTATCGTTTTGTTTAAAGTCTAAAAATCAAGGCCATAGCATGTCTACTATTCGATTTTTCTTAAGTTTAGCTATCAAACTTTCGTCAGAAAACACCTATCCATTCTTTATTTTTTACATCTCTTCATAGCTTTCTAATTATCCAATAGCTGGTTTGTTTATCAGCACAAAAGCCTTAAGTTCAATTCTACTACATCCAATACCGAATCCAAGTCCAACCTGAAGAACTTGGTGTTAAAGCCTATCATATTGCCATTGGAAAAATTAAGCGCATTCTTTTAAAGATAGTGCAGTTGTATAAGTTCAAAACTAACTTCACCAAGAAATAGGAATTTTATGGCAAATTTAACAAAATTCTTGAAGTTGATGAAATTAGGGAAGGATCTAACCATCACTTACTCATTCTTATCTGGGCTTGATCGATACTGCCTCCGGACTTATAGAACCTTTCAGTGCATACTGAACCTGAAGGAAGACTGTTTACCACTAGTGACCAATAGTAATTCGTCGAATAAAGGTGATGGTTGGTGTCCCCACAGTTCGCATCAATATCTGGACAAAGTATTAAACCTGCAGTACCCTGAACATTGGTAGACCCAGAGCAAGCATAGCTACTACTACTGGCACAGTATCCTGAAGTATCACCAGAGTTACAGCACTCTCCATTAGATTGAGTAGCTCCAACAGGAGCTCACCATCTCTGCGACCCATTATTGACACAAGTCTTTCATTCTGACTGACTTGTAGAAACAGCAAGGCTTCTTTCAAAGTCTGAAATCTGGCATAAGCAAACTACAACAGTCAAAGTTAACACTAATCACAATTTAATCATCGCTCTTATTAATTAATTTACAAATCTCAATAGATCTTTGCTTATACGGGGTTTTGGGGTTTTGGGGTTTTGGGGTTTTGGGG